TAATCGCTATGCAATAGTCCTTTAACTATGATATATATATATGTGAAGAGATGTAGAGAATATAATTATATTGTTCTCAAACTATTACTACATCCTTATACTTAGCCTTTCGACTAGTTTTTCCTTGAAGTTCCTATTTGGAGTTTCTAGTTTAGAAGGTTATGCGTGTCATCATGGGCTAATGATCTATTACTTCATTTCTTCATTAGCCGATTTGGTTAATTTCGCAGATCATCTTTTGCCGATTATTGTGTCATTGATTTTTGCAGATCAATTCACATGATGATTATTTGCAGATCACTTTACTGCGTCACATTTCTAATTTTCCGAAGATCATTTGGGTTACATAACATAAAGGTGGATTATTAATCTTTATTAATTTTTAAAGGTATTTATCAGCTATTAAAGTATTAAACTAATTATAATAACAAGAAATCTTGATTTTTTTAATATTTACTATTTATTAAGTATTTTAAAATAATGGATTAGTATTAAGAGTTAAAAGAAAAATGATATATCTTATAAAATATTGATATAATTTGCAAAAAAAATATGAAAATTAAACTAATAAAAACTGATCAAAAGTAATATAATCAGACAAATTAAAATTTAAGATTTTTAGTTCTGATAGAAAGAAGTATTACTAAAAGAACTAATAAAAGATCATATTAAACTTATAGTAAAATTTAAAGGTATGTCAGTTATAATACATAGATATTTTGCATTTTATAATATTCATAGTTATATAATATTATTAATATAATAAATTCTGAATTATATCAACAAATTTTTCATAAAAATTTAATATTCACTATTAAAAATATGATTTTGATATTATTTTTTAATATGAGACCTTTGTAATAGAAAGAGAAGAAACTTCCAGAAAAATTAAAAATAAGTTAATATAAAATTTGAACATAATTCAACCTTAAATCATATTTAGCATATAAAAAAAAACCTATTTTTCCTGATAGTTTTCTTCTTTTCTATTGTAAAGATCTTATATGATAGGGATGTAAAGCATATAGTAAATTTAATAAATAGTTGCTTAAAATAAACAAGATAATGGTCTTATATTATCCTAATCTTTAAATTTAAATTTTATTAAAAATTTATGAAATAAGATTAATTGTTAAATACTTTTCTAGACAAATTTCAAATAGTAAAAATATATAAAATAAGATATAGTGAGATTTAAAAAGAAATTAATTTGCAATCCAATAAAAATCTAATTTAATCTATATAAAAAAGGATTTATAATATCATCAATACTCAAAAAAAATTACAAAATTATAATTATATTAAATTCAAAATATAAAAAAGTTTATAGCTAATTTTATAATTTTTGAACTATTAATAAATTGAGACTGAATGCAATTAAATGTGACTAAAAATATTTATAATAAGATTACTATAAAATATTATAATTGAATGTGACTGAATATTATTAAAAAATTATTAATGTTTAGAAATTATGCAAATAGCTATAAATTGGATGTTTTAAATTTTATTTGAGTTGTATTAAAATTGAAAATAAATAATGTAACTGTATAATTAATTAAAATAATCAAAATAATTATAATATTTAAATAATTTATTTATATAAATTTTAGTATTAGAAAATTATAACGTTAATAATAAAATCAAAAAAAATTTTAGTTTTCTTTGTAATCATAAGAAATATTTCAACTTAATTAAAATTTTTATTTTATTACATAAATTATGATTGCCATTATATATTTCAATATGTTAATTTATTAGATAATTATTAGCCAATTTTTTTAAAAAAATTTAAGTATAAAAATTAATTAATATTTAAAATATTTTTATATTATAGATAAATTAATAAATAATAAAAAATTTTTACAAGTCCAATAATCCATACATACTGCGCCATTTATATTCATTCCGATTATTAAGAATATTTCCAAATATAAAATAAAAATTGTTTATATATATACTCTTAGTTTTAAAAAGTTTTGTTGAACAAACAAAACATTAACAGCCCCAATCAATAATACTCTTACTTTCTAATTATAGAGAGAAAAAATCATAATTAAAATGGGAACCAAAATCCGTGTAACGATTCATTCAAAAAATGATAAATTATTGCATGTGAGACGAACCATAAAATACAAAATCTCTCTTTTCCGGGTTTTTATAGATCTAATTATTACCGGAAAATAAATTTAGTTTGTTACATAATTCCAGGTTTATTGTAAGAATTTTTTAATAAGACGATGAGTCGCGCACCTTCCTCGTCATTGGAGAACGCTCCATTGCTTTCACCTAATGATCCTGAAGAAGAAGAAGCTCTTGATGGGGGTAGCGGCGTAATCGAACGCGGTCCTCGTACTCGCGAAGCTCCGCGTGATCATTCAAACTTCTTTCCGTTACGTCATGGAAAATTTTCTCACCTAGAAACTTTGTTGGCTTTCATGTGTGTTTTGTTATTAATACTTATGAGCGTTTTCGCTGGCTTATATGCCAGAGGAAGGACAAATAAACACCCACAACCAGAAATTCCGCCGCCTATTATACCTCCACCAAATGATACCATCAAGGTGAACGCGTTATCAAAACAATAATCAAGGACAAGCGTAAAAAATGAAAATGTCTAACATAGTATAACTTACGCGTTTACAGGAACCTTGTCTTACTCCAGATTGTGTAATTATAGCGGCTCAGATTATTAGTGATATGGATCAGACTGCCGATCCTTGTGATGATTTCTTTCAATATAGTTGTAAGTTAGAATTTATATTATGCTTATCGAATATTTAAATTATTTGCAGCTCAGCCTAAATCTATCTTTTAAGGTGGCGGTTGGATACAAAAACATTTGATACCCGAGGATAAAGGCCTTTACAGTTACTTTGATAGTTTATATGAAGACAATCAGGTAATTATTTGTTTTTGTTTTTACTTCAAATGATTACAAAACTAATCAAAAATAAAAATAAAAATTTTTTTATCACTACAGAAATTATTGAAAGAAATTCTTGAAAATAATTTTGAATCAACTCATAAATTTGAGCCGAATCTTCCACCACCTTCAGAAGGAATTGACAAACAGAATTTTTATAAACTTCAAGATCTCTATCAGTCTTGTATGAATGAAACTTTAATTAATGAGTTCGGTGGAAAGCCTTTGTTGCCAATCATAAATCATATTATTGAAGAATTTCCTGTAGACCCTAAATATTCTTTATTGAGCAATTTTGGACATTTGAATGAAATAGAAAGTCAAAGAGCTCCTTCTCACGATCCTCTTAATTTAACAAATACATTATCACACCTTTCTATCTATGGAATAAAACCATTGTTTGAATTTTTCGTAGATGCAGATGCAAAAGATCCGAAAAATAATGTTTTATACTTATCTCAGTCTGGCCTTGGTTTACCTTCAAAGGAATATTACGAGGAGGAAGATATATTGTTATCATATAAAGAAGCTATGATAGAATTATTAAATTTGGCCCTAAATTATAGCAGTAAAAATTTAACTCATCATTTAAATTATAACCTCACCGGATCAGATGACTTAGTTGAAGACATATTAGAATATAGTGCAGAAAGGTTCTTATATGAAGAATGGGAAGAAAATGCTAAGAAAATTATAGATTTCGAAATAGCATTGGCCAAAATATCTTTATCTGCGTAAGTATATCGATCATTATTAACTTATTTATTAACTTACTATTATTATTAATTTTTTCTTTTTTTTTTCTTTTGGAATTTAGCGAAGAGTTTTCTGATCCTGAAGCTACTTATAATAATCAAACTGTAGTCTCACTTGAAAATCTTAGTCCTTCTTTCATTTGGACTCGTTATATTAGTGCATTATTACCTCCTACATCTGTTTTTCCGGCTAAAATAATTTTAACTTCCAACAAATATTTTAAAGATCTTTCAAATCTTGTCGAGAAAACTCCTACTCCAACTTTACAACTTTATTTCATTTGGCAAGCAATTTATACTTATGCTGATTCTTTAAGTGAAAATTTCAGAGTACCACTAAGAAAATTGAGGGCAAAGCTCAGAGGAACTGATGAATCAGTTAAACCTAAAAGATGGGAAGAATGTCTTAAATCTGTTGATAATACTTTAGGTCTTATGGCTGGCAGATATTTTGTGTTGAGAGCATTTGGAGGTATGATTTATAAACTTATTATATTATATCCTTTTTCATTTCTAATTTTATATTGATTTTAGGTCAAAGTAAAGAACTAGCCGATCAAATAATTATTTCTCTTAAAGATGCATTTATTAAACAATTACCGCAACTTGATTGGCTTGACAAAGAAACGCGTGAAAAGGCAATTGAAAAGGTTAATCGTATTATTCAAAAAATTGGATATCCCACCGAATCACCTGATACTATGTCACCACAATCTCTTACCGAATATTATGAAAAGATAAATATAGAGAAAGATAGATATTTCGGTAATCTTATAAGTGCTCATAGGTGGGCTTCAGAAAATAAATGGAAGAAAGTTGGTAAACCTGTGGATCTCGGTCAATGGTATATGACTCCTCAAACAGTTAACGCATACTATGTAAGTATGAAAGTGCTATAAAAGCGTGTTTATATAAATAATAGGAAAGTATTATAACCTTAACTTTATTTAGAATCCTACGGCTAATGAAATAGTTTTTCCAGCTGGTAACTATCCAATTTAAAAGGTTTTGCTTTATATATATATATTCTTTTTTAAGGTAAATAATTTAATTAATTTAGGCTAATGATAAATCATAGGAATACTTCAATCGCCATTTTTTAGTTCCAGAGCTCCGGAATATGTTAATTATGGAGCAATTGGTATGGTTGTCGGACATGAGCTCACGGTTTGTATTATAATTAATCTTTGTATTCTCAGTAATATAAAACTAATTTGAGCTAACTTGAGTTTATAAATATTAAAGCACGCCTTTGATAATAATGGAAGACAATATGACGCGAATGGTAAACTAATTCAGGTACAAATAAAAGATTTTTATCTTTTTATTTTTGAATTTACACGCAAACAATAATTTTCTAATTTGATTTTTCAACAGTGGTGGTCTAATACTACGATTGAAGCATTCAAGGAAAAGGCGAAATGTTTCGTGCACCAATACGGTAATTACACAATTGATGATCCAAAAGGCAATCCTGTAAACTTAAATGGTGTTTTAACTCTTGGTGAAAATCTTGCTGATAACGGAGGGTAATTATTATTATTAAAATGCTTTAAGGATACTTTTATATTATTTATTTCCAATAAATAATCAACAAATATATATATATTTCTTTTTTTAAGTCTTAAAGAAGCTTTTCATGCTTGGCTTACCCGATTTGAAAGTGATAAAGATGAAAAACTTTATAAAAATCAATTATTACCTGGATTACAAAATTTGACACGTGAACAATTATTTTATATATCATTTGGGCGTGTTTGGTGTTCAAAAGTAAGACCAGAGACTGCTGTAGAAAAGGTATGGATCGTTTTATAAAAGATTTAAAAGATTTTTTTTTTAATTTTAACCGACATTAAATATATTTTACCTTCTTTCCTATAATAAAAAGGTTCGAGTTGATCCTCACTCACCAGCAATTTGGAGAGTTAACGGTGTATTAACAAATTCCAATCATTTTGCTAAAACATTTAAGTGTAAAGTAGGATCAAAAATGAATCCAAAAGATAAGTGTTCCATTTGGTAAAATATATATATATTTAATATCAACTGTTTTGGAATGGTTATTTTATTTTTATTTTTATTTCTTTTTGGTTGTATTCTTATTTAAGATGTGAATTGTACATTTTTGATATGGGGGGGGGGGGGGTATTAAAAATAAAAAATTGTTTCGATTAAACCAAAAAAAATGTAGGCACGTGATATATTTCGCCGATCATATCATAGGATCGGCGAAATGATCACGTGAATGCGAGGATAGCAAAGCGAAACTGTGGAACTTGTCAAGTCACGTGAAAGTATCGTAGAACGCGTTACGTCACAATGAATTTATCAAAGTTCGTTATAATTACTGTTTTTTATAAAATGATATTACAAATTAATGGGTTTTGTGATGAAATTGGTTGTGCTCTATTCTGTACAAAAAAGCTAAAAGTAAAAACTAGAATTATAGCTAATTAATGCTAATTCACATATAAAAAAAAAATGAAAATGAAAAATTAAGATTTCAAAAAAAAATTTTTTTTCAACATTATTTAAAAGTTGAAATGCTACATACAGTATATTAAAATAAATCTACTCAAATTAAAAAAATTTTCAATACCATTTTTTTTTTTTTTTTTTGATGCTAAATCACAAAAATTGTCATTACAATGTCTGATTGAAAAATTTTCTCTACAAAAAAATTAGCCTCGAAAAAGTTGCACTTAATAATTTACTCACACAATATAGTTGACAAGGTTATTGTTGTTGTTCGAATAGACGAGCCAATTCAAAGATGAAGGGACCAATATTGACGTCATCAAGTTCATTTTCGCTCTCATTCGACTCTTTTTCAATTGGATTACCGACGATAATTTTGTCGAAATGCTTATTTTCAATGTCCTCTTCATCGTCATCTCCCTCATCACCACTCAATAAATTATTAAAATACGGGAGAAAGAAGGTATGCAACTCTTCGATTTGTTCTCGAATCAGCTTATTTTCTTCACAAATATTTTTATATTCACTTTTTAATTCATCACATTCATCTTTGACCTTATCTACTTCTTCTTCGAGCAGTGCATTCATCTGCGAAATATTTTGTTCCGTTGCTTTTAAATCCTTCAACGTTGACTCTTGTACTGAATACAATCAAGAAAAGTATCATCATTTTAATCACAACCCTTATCATAGCATTAATCATATATATCATCACAACGGTCAATTACGTCACTTACCCTCGTGGAATTTATTAAAATCTTTGGAGAACATTTGGAACGGAACTCCGATTTCTCCAAGGTGACGATCTAATAGAAAGAAGAATATTGATCACGTGTCATTACGCGTCATTTAAACAACAAATACAAGTTGTAATACTTTACTTTGTGCATGTTCGGCAAAAGTCCAACGTACACCACTTCTAATTCTATAGTCATATGAATAGCTTTCGAGGCCGTTATTAAAAATCCGTTCTCCGTTGGTTTTTCGTGATGATGTTATTCCATAAGGACTAAATAAATGTGAAAGAGAATTCTCTTGACGATGACGGATCGCGCCGTTTTTGCCATTCGTATAACCATTTTCATCAAATGCTAGGTGGCTGGTACCATTTATCAATGGTGTATTGATCGGAGTAGAGTCTCTATATGTTACTGCGCTATTTCCATTCGTGTGATGTTGTGGAGACTTTTGATTGGCTGTGGTGCTACGGTCAAGTTCACCTTCTTGACTTTCGTCTTAAACGAACGAAAAATTGAAAGAGATGAAGAAGAATAAAAAAAAAAGAAAAGGAAAGGAAAGGAAAGGAAAATTAAAGAAGGAAAAAGATTTTTTTCTTTTTTTTTTTTGGATAAAAATTCAGTTATTTCAGATAACTTTATATATATGCTCTATTATTTTTTGATTTTATTTTCATACCATTGCTGTTTTCTTCTTCCGAACTATCGCTAGTATCTTTTACGGCATCTTCATTAAAAACAAACTCTTCGTCAGAAGAGTCAGACTGGTCCGAATAATTCGCATCTAACCAATCAGTCGTCCTCGTATTTTGCATATTACTAGTAACCGACATGATATAGTAATTCAAGTGTATATTTAACCAAACCTTAAAAAGTTGGCTTTTTTTGCTAAAATAAATATCTAGAAACCCTTGAGAGGTTTTTAAAAGAAAAAAGAAAATTTTATTTGTCTCGTTTTTGAGATCTAAAAACCGTAATTTCAAAAGGGTATTATAGACCAAAAAGTAGGAACTTTATATAGAAATTTGTTCGAAAACAATATTTATAAGTCTAAGAGGTTTATGAAAGTGTAAAAGAAGTGTTGTTAGATTTGTCTGGCTTTACGTCCAAAAAAAAAACCTAAAATATCAGAAATAAAGCATACAGAATGCTGAGCGAAATTTAATACTCAACGTTAAAAAAAGACTTTTTATAGATCTGTCAGGTTTCACGTGCACATTATTCCTTGATAAGCATCAATTTAATAAATGATTCTTTTTTTTTTATGCTCATACTCGCGTTTAAATGTAAAAATGCAATTTCGTTTCATTCCTTTTCGTCACGTGATTATGTATATGTAAATTTTTTCCCTCGTTTTCGCTTTAAAAGATGAAATAATCATTTTCACTTGGTTTATTTTTTGAATTGTTATTCGAATTAGTAAAATAGTTTGAACATCATTTTTAGCTTTATTCGGTGTCAAAAATAAATTTAAAAAAATTTCTTTTTCTCTCATTTTTGCAATTTTATATTTTATTAAAATTCTAATATTTTTTTTTTTTTGTGCATATCCTATTTAGTAATTTTTTTTTTTTTAAAAAAAAAAATATTTTTTCCCCATTTTTTTTTTTTTTGTACTGCTAATTTATTCAATGTTTCAGAGAAAAAATTTCAACTGTTATATAATCATCTGTCTGATCCACTAAACCAAAAATGTTACATTACCTAATCTTTTTATTTATTTATTTGAACCCTAAACCAGTAATGTTTACCTCAGGGAAATTCTTTCTTGCCAAATTTGTAATAAATTTTTTTGAATATTATTTATAAATGCCGTTTTTTTTTCTTTACATGAAAAGTAAAAATGATATTTTATTCGAGATCAATAAAAGTAATATTTGAGATATAATAAATGAATATTTTATAGCCTTTTTTTCTTTCCTTTTTTTTTTAAAAAAAATTATATACTGTATATATTTAATATATAAAATTAAAGGTGCATTTATTTAATATTATATGATTAATATCAAAAAAAAAAAATCATAAATCAATATATACTTCATTTTATAAAAATCATATCGTCCTATCTTGAGAATCTACTAATTAGATTTCTCCTCTAACCATGAGACCAACAAGACATTTGCAATTTTTTTATACTTCCCGTCCTTAGTCTTACAAAACGAATTTTCTTAATAGCGGAGATTTCACGATATCGTAAGAAAAAGTTCTTTAGCCAGCCGACAAATTTCAAAAGCACACAGCAAAAAAGTACCTGGTTTCAATAGCAAATAAGACTGACTGTGTGAGGCATTAACGATTTTAAAAAAATATTAAAAATGACTTATACTCTCCATTTATCTTTCGTAGTGAATAGATAGATACAAGAGAGAAAAATTTGCATAAATTAAAGTTTGGAATGAACTTAAAAAAAAAGATTACGCTTATTATTTTCTTGAATTTACGCGTATTGGAAAAAGATAATATTAATAAATAATGATCTGTTTTATAATTTTCTTATTGAATTATATTCTAAAAGAAGAAACATTTCCTTTCATTAAGAAATAAAAATCACTTTATTTAACATGGCAAGATTTTGACGAACACTATAAAAATAAGCTTGTGCTATTTATATAGATATAGTTATTAATATTATTACAAAATTTAATTTTCATAATTCAAAGGATTTTTGTGAAAAAAAAAAAAAAGTGGATTTACAATATTAGCACATGAATCCTTTGAATTTCTGAAACTATATTGCATGTAGATTATAACCAATGAAATTTCCGATGCATTCACTATATCGAATTTTCTTTATAAAATTGATAAAAGGTCGTTGCCATAACTTTCGAGAAGATTCTAATTTGAATTTAAATTGTTCTTTACCTCAATCATTAAACATGCTTTGTTTAATAGCTGATTAAAAAATTTCATCTGACGTTCTCTTTTCCTATTTTGTACAATTTTCCCTTGCCCAGAAACGTTTGAATGAAATTGTTAACTCTAATAATAACAGATTGTGATTTCATTACAAACATTGATATTCATATTAAGGAGGTCTGAGTATGATTTGCCCAATAAAAGATCCTAAAGTTTAAATTGATATAAAAAGTCGACCCGATCGAGTGACAAAAAAAAATACCTGGGGTAAAATTTGCATAGTACCACGAATGATGATATATGCTATGGAAAAAAATAATCGAGTAATTAAATATTTTATCACATTTCATTATTACGGGTTAAGTTTTTTTGGTTCTTTATTTTTCGAGTAGAGATTACACGTGATATATGTATATACAATATAATATAGATAATCAATGGTTATAAATATTCATCTTTGAAGTCGTCGAGAATCCATCATTATATTAACATAATCTCAATTTTACAAAGCAAATTCCATTACGGCATCAACATTCATTATGTTATTTCGCCAAGAAAAGTTGCTCATTCCTTGATATTAAATAATGAATCACGAATTTATTGAAAAGAAATTTTTTAATTGAGAAAGAATTGGGAATTCACGACAAAGAATTTCACACTTCAAATTTTGAATAATATAAAATTTTTTTATTTCTAAAAAGAACTTTTTTTTTTACATATTATTTATAGTTATTATTCTCAAAATCAAAAAAAAAATTAAATTGTTTAGATAAAAAATAAGAGAATAATGAGTGAACAAGTTAAACCAATCAATCAATAATTTAAATTGGAAAAAACTTTCACGAATATAATTTACTCATTCCCATACACCTTTTTATTTTTTTTACCCACCAAATTTTCGCAATTCAAATGTTCGTGGATGATGATATTTTCAATAAATTTTAAGAAGGTTCATGTAAAAATATAGAACCCCAAATCATAAACGAATAAAAAAAGGACATAAACAAATTAATACATAATTTTTTTTTAAAAAAAAAAAATAAAAAAAAAAATAAAAATAAAAATAAAAAAAAAGATCTGATTGATCTATCAGAATATCCCAAAAATAATCAACTTGTCGCTTCTTGTTTGGTCGGTTCAATTTCATCATGGGACTTTAATCTTTTTTCTTTCTGTGCTTCATGTCGTAATTTTGCCTTTAATTCTTCAATTTCGTTATGTAAACGTGCGTTTTCTTCAAGTTTCAAAGCATTTATGTTTAGCTTCGTATTAAAATCCTCAACTTCTTTATGAAGTCGATGATTTTCCTCTTCTAAACGTGTGACTTTTTCTTCAAGATCAGCCACATAAGCTTTTTTCTTACGACGGCATTCTTTGGCAGCGACTCGATTACGCAAAAGTCTACGCTGTCGACGTTCGTCATTGGTAAGGTTGCGAGTGCTAACTGCACGCTTATTACCGGAATTGTCTTGAGATGCTTCGTGTATAGCGGAGCTATCCAACAATTCTCCCATGTCAGAATGAAGCATGGGAGAAATGTCATTAATTGTGGTTGGTTGTTGGTTCGAGATTAAAGGTGCAACTGCAATAGGAGAATTCATTGAATTTATAGAATATGTAGCAGTCAATACATTATCAAACGGTGGATTTGTAGACTCTGTGGACTGACCTACAACATTCTGGGCTACAGAAGAAGGTACACTTGATAAAATAGCCGCGGCATTTGCTGCGAGCATAGTAGGATCGCTCTTTATATTAGCACCTTCGATTGCTTTCTCTGATTTTTTGGAGCCTTGAGTAGCTTTGCGTTTTGCGTCACCTTGACCTGCTACATCAGTAGGGGCTGTTCTTTTAAGTGACCTAGCAGTGTCGTCGTTTTTATTTTGTTTCTGTTCTGTTTTCATTTTACTTGTGACTGTTGTTAAATTGATTTCGTCAGTTTGATTTTGTTGTAATTCTTGTGGCATATTACGTAGATCAGGAAACGAAGAACTCCAAACCCTATTGTGTTAACGTCAGATGAGCTTATGTTCGACTTATAATGATAAAATAGCGTTTTTGTTACAAAATTTATCTCGTTGAAAATGAAGTATTAGTACTTGTAAAAATTCCCTTTTGACAGAATAAATATTAATGGTAGAAATCGCGTGTCGTCGTTATTTATTTCAATGTTGGACGACGTCGGTATTTTTTTTTTTTTGGACGACGTCGCTCTTTAAAGGTGACGGCAGCAAAAAAAAGGGAGATGACGATGTTTAGATAACTTGCTATTATGTATATATGATATAAAATTTTTATGTTGTGTGAGGGAAATTTATTGGGACTGCGGGAGGGCTGAGTTGGTGATACAAACCAATCATGGTTTTTCTTAATTTTCAAGTGACAAAATATTTGATAACAGCATTGATATCATCATTATGCGTCATCCAATATTATTTGAGCTTTATTTTTTAAAAAAAACAATTCTTGTTCGAAGGGTTGAAAAACATTTTTCTTTTTTAGTAATATTGTCTAATAATAAAATATTATTTTCTACATAATTATTTTTCTCGTTTTTTTTTTTTCTCAGTCTGTTAATTTCTTTAATTTCATTTGCTCGTAAATTTTCAATAGGATTGATGATATCAACTATTTTAAAAAACTTTTTCTTATCTATATATATTTATTTGAATTGGTCTTTCCTATAATACAAGTTCAAATTAATAATAAAAAATGTTAACATCTATAATGTCAAAAAGAAAATAATTATTTTTTTAAGTATGATAATAAATCTAATTAAAAAAATAGATAGAATCATATAAGTTATTAATTATTTAATAAATTAATTTATTAGATTTATATTGATTTATTAAAATTTATTACATAATATATTGATTTTTAGTTTATTTTTAACATCAAATTTTAAATATAATTATAGATTTAAATCTAACATGTCTAATATTTCTGATATAATTATTATAATTAATATATTAAATAT